AAGAACTTCCTGCTTCAAAGAAGTCAGTTGATATCTGGAGAATATCAGAGCTCTCAAAGTACCTTCAGGTTCTTTGCCCCAAAAGCGCCTTAGGTGGGGTTTTTTGTTTGTTTTGGTTTTGGTTTTTTATGGTGGTAGTCCCTTCCTATTTCTTTTGGGGCTTCCTTTTTGCTGCACGAAAGACTACCAGCAGAAACTGACTATAGGGATACTGCTAAAACTGACAAAGCTACTGAACAGAAATCACTCACATCTGTATTAACCTTCAAGCTGCTTTATGCTAGGAAAAAAAAACCCAAAAAGTGCTGTTTAAAAGTCACGTTAGCAAACACAGATACTGAAATTCATCTTGACATGGCTAATTTAATGAAAATTAAATGAAAAGCACTTGCCTTTATTCCTTCTCCAGGCTCAGCTGTGTTTTACGTACTTACAGGAAGGAGGGAAAAACAAGTCCCCCCCCCCCCCCATTTTTTTCATGTAAAGATAAAAGTAAATAGATTGCATAATATCACAGTTTATACTAGTTTATAACAGTAGGCAGGGCTACTGTTCAGATTAAACACATCTGCCTTCAAAGTAGCTTATATATGGGTTTGGAAATACGTTTTTGTAATGGTGGCAATCTGTTATTCTGTTATAACTGATCTCTATGGCAACTTAAAAAATTTTTGGTTTAATGCTGTTTGAGAAGACTGAAAAAGTGTACAGATTGTAAATATTTTATATAAATTGTAAGATTTCAGTTTAATATTTATAATAGAAAAAAATATATTAAAATTGCATTTCATGCCTCAAAGTTTGTATCTCAAAGAAATCTCACCAACCTTTACTCATCTTCCTTGACTCAGACGCTCCTGCAGGATTAACCTGGTACCGGGGCCCCTGTGCTGGCTCTGAAGCGCTTCCACAGCACACTCGCCAGGTTTGAACCAGGCTTCTGTAGCGCCTGCTAAGGCTATCGCGCAGGCAGCCTGTCGCACCCCGAAGGCGTGCTGCTCTTCCTTACCTTGCAGTTAACTGCAAAATACCTTAGCTCAAATATGTTTTCCCATGAGGTAACGAACGTTCATTCAGCTACCTGCAAGCACCCGAGGGAGTTGAGGGAAGAGGACAAGGAGTGCAGACTGACTGCTGAAAACACAAGTCCTATTTATAGTTATATTTTATATTTACAGTCTTGCACATACAAAACAAGTTCTGTTTTACTTCATAAAAGGAAACTTCATAATTATTGAAATTAAAAAAAAAAAAGGAAACTTCCACAGTAATTGGAGGATATTTCCTTAGTTTACATAAAGACAAAAATAGTGATCATATAGTCCTAAGTAATTATTTTTTTTTACTAAGATAAATTTTAACTGAAATTCCTCAGTAATCCCAGACAATGTACTAGGGATGTCTGTTGAAATTTTCCTGTATCATTTTCTATGGCCTTCTCCATTTTGGTCAAATATATCTGTTATTTTTCATTATCATAAAAAGTAAGTTCCATTACTACTGTAAGCAGGAATTCTTCCTGACAAACACGGGAGGAACATACGATAGCAGATCCAAATCATACCACACAAGTGATGCAAATAAATAACTTCCAATACAGTACTTTATTCCTCAGTGTTTACAGCTGTTAACAAAAGTGTCTCTCTCAAATCCTGAAAAAACCCCACCCCAACCTGTTTTTCAATTCCTTATCAAACAAAACAATATTCACGTAGATATTTACTGAGTGTGACTAAACACAAAAATGCTCACAAACATATATATGAAAATCTTTCTTTTACTTACAACAGAATAATTTGAAAATACTTCTTTTCAAGACAAACATACAAAATGAGAGAAGAGGTTTAAATCAATTATTTTCATGGTATTATTGCATCTTTTGATAAATTAAAAGCATACATTCACATATCTCTGTGAAATGTGGTGGTGCTTACCTCAGTTTTTACTTCAGGTGCTTACTGGCTTCACGTTTTAGAATTACTTAAGAAAAACTGAAGTGGCCAGATTAAAAACCAAAATCTCCAACCTATTTAGATTTCCATCCTTTCCACGATCTACATAAATATAATTGATATATGATGTTGAACTAATTTAACCATTAGAATTACATGTGGGCTCACGGCTGGTTCACCGCATGGTTCACTTCATTTGGAACCGCCCTGCCTGCTACAAACAGGATAAACTGGTGAGCGTGAAGGCACCAAGGCACACCCTGCGCACACACACGCACAGAGTTA